TAGTTCTGCGATCAATAATCAATGGTGTCTCTTGTCATTGAACTGTCTGTTGTTAACTCTCCTACACTGAAAATTTTCAGTTTACAAAAAAGAATAAATCTTATTTTTGGTATCCAGGTACTTAGAGGCATGTAGAGTTTATATTATTTTCCTCAGTGTTTGCTTACAGTTTTCAAGGAACAAAGGCACAGTGCCACATCTGAAATCTCCCCTCAGGGGCATAGGAGTCAGGCTTCTGTATATTGGAGTTATGAATCATACAACAAATGAACATACCACACTCACTGATGAAAAAATTACACAGATTTTTTTCATTACTTGATAATATTCTATGTGGTGGTATCCTAGTACATAAACAATGAAAATATTTTCAAAATTATCCTTTTTCCTTATATCTGCATTCTGTGCTTTAATTGCATCTTTTAAAATGATTCCAGTTTAACTTAACACAGAGGTAAGCACTGTTTCTTGTCCTCACATCCTCCCTTCATCCATTTATTTATTTCTCTGTGTATATATAAAAAATTATTGGTGTATTTGTTACTTCAAATGTACTTCAATATTAGAAATCTTACTATTGAAATTATTGCTGGAATAAGAATGGAAGAACTCAAAACTCAGAATTGCCTAATCTGAATATGCTGAAGAATATGAACCTTGCCTTTCTTTGGTGACGAATAAAAGACTGGCTGTCAGATATTGTGCAAGTTACTCTCACATGATAGAAGTTGATGAATTAAATTTCTACATGGAGTATCTAAGCTTTACCTCTCTCAAGTGAATCACTATCCCTTTATCCCTTCTACTTCTAGTAAATATGCTCAGATCCATGGATTGTCTATATTCAAGGAGAACTCTGTAACACTAAGCAAACATGCTCACTCCAGTACTTCTACCAACACCATTTTGAATTATATATACCCTCTTGAAAAAATTATGTTAGGTCAACATTGGTTAATTTTATTCACATAAAAAATATCTTCAGGGCTGGGTTTGTGGCTCAGTGGTAGAATATTTGCTGAGCATGTGTGAGGCACTGGGTTCAATTCTCAGCACCACATATAAATAAATAAAAAACATGGTCCATTGACAATTAAAAAAATATTTTAAAAAATCTTAAATGTTAACTCTTCTTAAAAAATGAATTTATGGCCCCATTTTTCTAAATAAATAATCAGGATGCTCTCTTTGGTTTGGATTCTAGCTAATGATACTCATAGTATATAACTGAGCTTTGTCTTTTGGGTTTGTTCATATTTTGGGAATTATGCTGTCTCTGTGGTAACAAATGACCCTGACATTGCTACAATTATCAGATTCTATCCCTTAGCATAACTCCATATTATTTTAGTATTCTGGCCTCAGTGCTCTCTAATCCGAATTTTGGGGCCACAACCTAAACTTGGGGCAGGCTGCTCTGTTCTGATCATACTACTTGGTTTTGTACTCGCCGTGTTGTCCTTTATAACACTATAATCATGTACTTTCACGTTGATACAATTATCTCATACCTTGATAATAGATAAATCCCCCAACTTGCCTTTATGATACTTCTCCTCAAACTCACATCTGTATTATTGCTAAATTAACTGTCCTAAAAATGCACTCTCACTATGATACTGTCTTTAGTGAAAAGCTTCGATGGCTCTACAATGCTTGAAAACATCAAATTTTGATTACTTAATTCATCATTTTATGTTCTGATACACAGAATGTTTGCTGTTTTTTAAGTCTTATATCTAGTTACTCTCCTATGTATAGCTTTGACTCTTGGTCCTGTTTATATTGCTATACTAAAATACTAGACTGAATATTTTATAAGGAAAAGAGGTATATTTTTGTGTGAAGTTTTCCAAGTTGAAATATCCGCACATGGGTGGCCAAATGTGGTGAGGACCTCATGCTGTATCATAATGTGGGGGGAGGAGGGTGGCATCACATGGTGGGATTGTATGGAGAGTTTTGTGTGCAGAAGAGGCCAAACATGGGATGGACTTATTTATAACAACCCATTCTCACGGTAACTAATCCAGTTCTGTGAGATCCAATCCATTCCCTCAAGATGGGTATTAATCTCTTCCAGGGAGAGTGCCCTTCTGAAAGAAGTATCTTGCACTAGACCACACCTCTGAACAATTTTTGCTATCTCTCATTGCTGTTACATTGGGTGGGGGGCAACCTTATGGTACATGATTCTTCAGGGGAAAAATCATATCCAAACTTTATAGCATTCTCGGTATTGTTGAATTATGCACCATTTACTTTTTATTTATCATACTTTTCTTTTTGAAATAATATTCCTCTCTGATCTAGCTATGCAAATTATACTAATTCCTAAGGTTAAGTTAAATTCTACTTTTCATTGAGATTTTCCTAATCATTCTTGTAGGAAGTCATTTCTCATCTCTGAATGTCTACAGTTTTTTATGTTTTGATTATTTGGTGTTCATCGCGTATTGTTGTAGCTATTTGAAAACTTTACATATCTACTCAATCAGAGAGCAAATCTTTAATAATAACACTTAAAAATTTTACTTTGTATTTCAAAATAGATTTTGGCTTATAAAACACAATGAACAAAATGAAAAATATTTTTATTAACAATAAAGGATAATACATCAAAATAAAATATCACAAGTTTAATGTAAATTTTAAGATAAAACAGTTGGGGATGTAGCTTATTGGTAAAGTACTTGAACAGCATGCTCAAGGCCCTGAGATTTATCCCCAGAACTGTAAAATCAAGATTAAGACAATGATAATCATCTTTAAAGCATGAGGACTAAAATTTATTGTCTTTAACACCATTTCCATGGTGTCCATATGATCTCAGTAAGGATTCTTGACTTCTAAACTATTTTCAACCAACAAACTGTAAGATTCAAATAGAGTTCACACAAGAGAGCAATTACTTTCTTGATTTACGTAGAAAGCAATAATAAAACACCCTAGAATTTAACAATTAAAAGATCTCACCCTTAGTTTTATTTTTTATTAAAAAAAGAAAAACAGGTAATATTTGGTTTATAAATAATTCATTTATTTACTAATTCATCAAAAGATATTTGTTAAACTTTGACTATGCAGAAAACTAGGAATTGGGCATATGATGGTAAACTCTTTCTTAGTCTATGTAGAATTTTGAAGATTTAAGGTTATCAGATATTATTATCCTATGTGGAGAAAAGAACATTTCTAGTTTAAAAGATACTGAAGATAATCTAGGATATTTTGGGAATATAAATGATATGTAATCCAATTCTCTAAATTCTCAAAGAAAAAAAAAGTAAGTATCAGCCATGTGCCATTCTATGTCCTATGTGGTGTCAGCCTGCTGTTAGAGGCTATTACTGTTCCAAAATTCATTATTCTTTCCCAGCGCAGTGGGCATTTCACTCCATTGATTTTGGACTTGTTTTTATGATTGCTTTGACCAGTGAAATGTCTGAAGTATGGTCATAGTATGACCAATTTTACATAAGGCTTAAGAAGTACCTAGAGTTTCTGTTTCTATTTTATTTGCATTATTGCCATTTGCCATAAAATCTTGCCTCATATAGTCATTGTTTGGTCTTGGTTCCAGAATGAGAGCTACATGGAGGAGATCTGAACTAAGACAGCAGGCTGGAGTCAGACTTAGCCAAGTCCAGCTGAGTGTTGGGCAAAGCTCTGTTGACATAAAATATTGAATAAGAAAAATAGTTGTTATTCTAAGACTCTAAGAAATTGGGTTATTTGTTACTGTAGAAAAGCTGTATAATTCAGCAGTGAAGGAGATATTGTGTTTAGTAGAGAAGAGACATCATCAAACAGGTAATTATCAATGCTCCGTGTATTTTGAGAAAATAAGTTTTTTTTTCAGAACTGTATATAGCTGGTTAATTTATATTATACTGGAGAAGAGGAAAATATGGAGTGGCAATTACTTACATATAGGTTAATTTATTTTCTAGTCATAATTTAGTATATTTCACACCAACTTCTGTTAAGGATTAGATATACGTTTGGTAAAGTGTGTCCTGGATAGATAATTGGACACTGTATTCAAAATCAAAAGCAGTTGCTGCTTGATATGAATTAATCCCACGTAGTTCTAAGTTATTTTAATGAAGGAATAAAGGCATTCATTCAGTTCTGTCTTTTCACTTGATTTGCTAATGTCCCCTGTAGTTTCTGTGCACTACAAGACCTTTCCAGGTATATGCTTATTCTGTTGCAATAGTTACTTTAGTTACCTTTTTTTAAAAATCACTCTTACCAAAATACCTGGGAAGAAAACTTAGAGGAGGAAAAGTTTATTTGGAGCTCATGGTTTTAGACGTCTCAGTTCACAGATAGCAGACTACATTTCTCTGGGGCTCAAGGTAAGGCGGCACATCATGGGAGAAGGCACAGCAGAGGAAAGCCACTCAGTTAATGGGGGAGGTCAGGAAGGAGAAGGGGTGGAGAGAGAGAGAGAGAGAGAGAGAGAGAGAGAGAGAGAGAGAGAGAGAGAGAGAGAGAAAAAAGAGAGAGAGAGAGAGAGAAGAAAGAAGAAGGTGGAGGAGGAGAAGGTGGTGGAGGATCAGCAAGGAATTGCAGATTGAATGCATCCTTTCAAGGCATACCTCCAGGGATCCACCTCCTCCAGCTGTGTCCTAACTGCTTACAGTTACCACCCAGTCAGTGCATTCAAACTAGAATGGATTGATTAGGTTTTAGTTCTCACAATCCAATCATTTCACATTTCTGCTGTATCCTATGTGGTGAGTGTCAACTGCTGTTAGAGACTATTGCTGTTCTTGAATTCATTATCCCCTCCCTAACACACTGGGCACTGTACTCCCCTGATTTTGAACTTGTTCGTTTGATTGCTTTGACCTGTGAAATGTGTGAAGTATGATCACAGTATGACCGATCTTAAATGAGATTTGATACAAAAGCTTTTGGGGGACATCTCACATCCAATTATAGTAAGAGTATTTCTCTCAAATTATGGAATCAGAGACTATTTACATTACTGTGGTTCATGAGTTGACCTGGTTCAACACCTTCTTATTGCATGCAAAGTAACTGAGGCCCACAGTCTTCTGTTGGTGTTTGGGGAGATTCAAAGATGAATCTCAGGTGTCCTGATTTCTGGATCACAATACCTACAACAATGAAAAAATATTTCTTTATATAATGTCTTTGAATAAATTTTAAAGAGCTTGGGAGGTTGAGACAGGAGAATTGCAAGCTCAACGTCAACCTCAGCAATTTAGCAAGATCCTAAGCAACTAAATAAGACCCTGTCTCAAAAAAAGATAGGGAGCTGGGGATGTAGCTCAGCGGTAAAGTACCCCTGTGTTAAATATTCAGTTTAAAAAAAAAAGAAAGAGGAAGAACTGAAGACAGGTATCAAAGCTCATATGGTAATTCAACTTAAGAAGCAGGAGGTAAATTGTGGAGTCTGAACATTTTATTTACTGTGGAGCAAACAGATCATACAGGCATAGAGGTCTACATTTCTCTGACATTCTTGGTCATACTATACACTTTTATTTATAGTATTTTTTACTATTTATAAATATATAATTATTTGTGTGGTTAGTCAACTAATATAAAAATTTTAAGGTAATATAAAAATTTTAAGACTCCATGAAGGCAGAGAAAGTGTGGCCCCAGTAACTAACATATACTTGACATATGGTAAGACTGAGTACAATTTTGAATAATTAATGAACACTCTTCATTTATTCCAGATAAGTAGGTTTTCATATCTCACTATATAATGTGAAATAGATCCCATGCTAAATTTACCTCTTTTTTTTTTGTTTTTGTTTTTGCTGGCAAATTTTCAATAGAATGTAGCAGTATTTCATGAAGTCTTAGGAAATAAATTAATGATTTACTTTTTGAAGATTTTTATGAACAGATCACATAATGAATACAATATTAAAGTATGGCATTATTTGTTTTACTCTTATTAGTGATAACAGTAAAATATGAATTGACAAAATTATTGCGTTAAAATTGTTTAAGAAGACAATCAGGGTGCACAGTGACTCATAAAATGAAGATCTGTTCAAGTGGAATTAATAGAATTACTAATAAAACAGTTCAAAGTTATTTGAATGACTAATGCTTAAGATACAGTGAACTAGAAAAGCAACATTGCTTTTAATTTACTATTTCTATATTAAGAAGAAATATCTGTTAGACTAGCGTGAACTCAATCCCTGTCATTTAATGCTGCATTGTCAAGATAAAATAAGGTTTTAAGGAGAGTAATAAATGTCCCAGATACTTAATTTGCTAGCTATTTTTGGCATTCTAGGCCTAAGCAGGCAAGAGGAAAGGGGACTCTTATATGTAGCTTAGTACCTGCCACTGTAATCTTGATGTGTTGGTGTGATCAGCACCTCTAATGATCTTCATTCTTTTTTTTTTTTTTTTTGCCATTTGACTTCCTGCATCCTCTAAGAGCTTCCCATGAACTGTTGAAGAATTGTATGATCCCTTTTAGAACCCAAATTAAGGGCAATACAAAGGAAAACTTGAAATAATCAAAATATTATATCATCAAGTAAAAATTATCCATGTATATTTAAGGTTTTAAAAAAACTATGAAGTAATTGTTGGGGTTTCTAAGGAAGCCACCAAAAAATATCATCCCTTTTCTCCAAACAATTGCTAAATTATTTGAGAAATAAAACAAAGGAGTAAATGTCTATGTCAAAATATCAACTTGATCACTGCTAGAGGCAAGGAAGCAAATTGTGACTTTAGCTAATGTCTATTAGCTAACTAAGTTTTCCACCTAAATCCCAGAATTAGGAAGAATTCATCCATCGAAGGAAGATACTGGACCTGAAGCTGGTCTTTTCTTACCAGAGCTGGCTGCTCTAAAAGAAAGGGCAAAGGAGGGCGAACACCTTCTGCAGGAGGCTGGCGTCAAGAGAAAATGGGAGTTCATAACCCACTTGAATCAAAATGTGAAATATGATATATCAAGAACTATGTAATGTTTTGAACAACCAA